AACGGTCTACTTCTGAATCACGCCAAGTGCCACGTGATTCATCTGAGGGGTGAGGCTGTAAGAAGATACTTCCTCCAATCATTGCCCCTAACCGCAGTAGGGCAAGTTAGCGATCTCGGGTCAATCCTGACCCGGAAAAGAAACTTCTCAAACAACTGTGTCCGAATGGCTAAAATGGGGAAGCTCCATCCAGCACCTCATCACCAGATCCCGCGGCAAAATGGAGCCCGAATGTTTCAGGCTAATGTACAACACGTACGTACGGCCGCACCTGGAATACATTATACAGGCTTGACCCCCAGTACTGATGAAAGATAAAAAGACCTTGAATCAGTTCAACGTACAGTAACAAAAACAGTTGTAGGTCTTTCCAACCTAACCGAAGGCAGTGGTGGGTGCCATACTTGACCGCATACCACCGTAGGAATTATGGACGCTCGATTGGCCGTGACCATTTTCTGTCCTTTGCCAACTGAACTGAACTGAACCTACGGAGAAAGATTGCAACGGTTAAATCTGTTCAGTCTTCCTTACAGACGTCTACGTGGGGACCTGATACTGATGCACAAAATTGCAACAGTACCAGATCACTCCAACAAAGAGCTACTAACCCCGCGTTTAACCAGGATTTACGGGGTCACTCGATGGCTGGACAACACCAATAGTGCCGGGCAAACAACAGATGGTCAAACTTCTCTGGGCGAACCATATCTGCATGGAATGCGTTCCCGGGGGACGTTGTCACCGCAACAACAACGCACTCTTTCAAGCTTGATAAGTTAGTCGCAAGTCAGGGTTCTCTTTGAACCAAGAGAATTGGATAGCCAGCCAGCAACGTTAGATGGACCGCTGGCTGGTCATTGAAGCATACCTGACACGACAACTGCTTTAATCTGTAGTCCAAATGTATATGCACTAACGCATTTCCATCAGCTTGGCTCAGGACTTCACTGGGTGTCACTGTACCCTTTATTCCCAGAAATCCTCAGCATATCGTTACTGGTAACTGGCTGAGGCTAAGACCAAAACGAAAATAAACTCTACAGAACTTCATCCGTACGCCAGATCTCCCCGAGAACCCTCAAGAAACAGGCATATCTATAAGCCAAGGAGCTTCCTCCGCCTGTGAATTGGACATTGGACAAGCTTACCTCGTTGGTCACGGTACGTTGACTTTCACCTTCTGCACGCTTACCTGTACGCTTCTCTCTGTTCTGCAGCTCATTTCAATACAACCGTCGTCGAAGTTTCATGATACCAGTCGTCCTGTTTTGGTTCGGTACTTCGTCCGTTGCTAGACGTTCGAATTTGTGGACATCATTAGCATAGAGACTAAATTTATAAGGAGAAAAGCTCTTCCCTTTCCGTTTCAGCAAGGATGTCGTACTGGAGGTAATTCGCAATGGTGGGTGTACACTTTGTGAGTATACTACCGGAAGAAATCTGGGCACTTGATTGACCGTGGCCAATATCAATCCTGTGAAACCAGACCTGACTTGCCCTGTTAGGGATGGTTAGTAGTCTTGTTCCAACTTCTTCCGTGGTATTGGTGTCTCCAAATCAGCGAGGCTACGTAAATTGCAAGAAACTGAACGCGCGATTGACAAGAATCTCAATTTGTTCTATGGGAATTGAACGGAATCTAGAAGTTCGTGTTAAAAACACCCCTGCCGAGCGCGGTCATTGTCCGCGCGGCTCGTTTGAAATAGTTCGTTGAAGAAGGTGATCTGATTTTTATTGCTTCCCGAAGACCTTCGGGTTTCTAAATTTCCTTATAATGGAAACATATGCTCAGTTAAATCGTGCTCAACTAAGTTTCGATTATCTTCACACGAATTCGTAAGTATCTTCAAAAAATTAATACTCTTCAGAACCACTCATGAATTTCTCTTTGGGGCGATTGCCGAATTGATTGACAATGCGCGTGATGCAGGCGCTACAGAACTAGACATTTATACTAGTGAGTATAGGCGTTTTTTATGGCATTTCTTCTGCAGTTAAAGACAGTTCTGTGCGCGGGAATTTTCTGTTATGTTTTGCGGATAACGGATGCGGGATGTCACCAGGTAAAAAAAATTTTTTTATCGTGATGTACTAGATGAGGTGAAAAACGTCATTATTTTTGGAAAGTCTTTGAAGAGAAGCGAAGAAAGTTCGACCATTGGCATGTATGGAAATGGGCTTAAGTCGTAAGTTGTCCAGCCTCATCATCCCACCTTCGTGCTAGTGGTTCAATGCGTATCGGTAATGATATGATGTTATTCACAAAAAGGGACGGTGTATATACCTGTTTGTTCCTCTCTCGAAGTTTTCATGAGGAAGAAAAATTGGAGGAGGTATGTCTACTATCTTCTTACATGATGCCTGCAGGTGATCGTTCCTCTGCCATCTTTCAAAGGTGCTGATAAAGTCCCGTTGGCGGAGACTCCGGAAGAGAAAAAAAGGGTAGGCAGTTTCTTCATTCTAATATTTGGCAGCATGAAACAGAAATGCATCTAATCCTGAAATATTCACCGTTTCGGTGTCTGAAAGACTTCTTTGCTCAGTTTGACAAACTGAAGGATGCATCTGGAACAGTAGTCATAATATATAACATGAAGCTGTTGGACCATGGCGCCCCCGAATTGGATATTACTACAAACCCGCGTGACATACTTTTGGCCTCGGGACCTGAAACTGAGGAAACTGTGGAACCCGATGCAGAGCTGATGTAAGTTGCCCCGTGCATTTTCCGTCTGTGATACTGTATTCAACAAACATAGAAAGCGATGTTTTATTGCAAAGAGCACCGTAGATGTATTTATTCTATGCTAGGTAAATCTGTTTAACCTAAGAAAAGGAGTTATCTTTTTTATTCCATACACTGATGTTGGATAACAGACGAAATAAACCCAATATTCGCGAAGAGCTGCTGTTTATTGATAGAAACCTAGAACCTAATCCCCAGGACTTTAAACGGTAAACCCTATAAAATGCGGCAGTTTATGTGTGGTATTGAACCAAAGCTGCTTACCACCAAAGTTGGCGGTGGCGGGACTCGAAACTCGGACCACAGGGTCCAAAGTACATCGATGGCAACGAGTAAACGAGTTCTTTAGTGAAAGAATAACCGGAGTATTAATTTGCGGCTTCTGGTTCGCCACTCCAAGTCCCGGGGCTTAGGTCGCAGGTTTCCTCCACTAAACAGCAGATTCTCGTGACCGAGGTTCGCCCCTCCTGCTGTTCATCACGCTTAGGTGTGCAATAATACATCAACCCTAATCCTTTGACAGAATTTCGCCCGTCAAAGGCACTAAACCAGGTTTAGGTTAACCTGGGCGTAATCATCATCATCATACAGCAAAATTCAGTGAAGCGAACTTCACTGATCGCTGCCAAACTCGCAATGAATACAAGGTTAGTGACAAAATTTAAGGTGGAAAGGGATTGGACCTACTTTGAGGGAGGGGGAGGAAGAAGAACCACTATGGTCAACACCGTGCGCAATCGAACTATGCATACATACCGGTTCAAGCATTCTGATCTGATAAGAAATTACAAGAACACCACTGTTGTCGGTTCGCTGCCATATCCTTCAATGTCTTCAATCACCCATTTACGAGTCTTTCGGACCCCAACCTGGAAGGCGCGTGACACCTACTCTACCTAATGTCTCTGTGCATTTCTTCATGCCTCATTTTCACGTCATCTGTTGGCCTCCATGTGGTTTCCTCCAGCCTGGAGCGGCTATAGCGAATCAGGCGCGATATGGTAGTCGGTAGCTGCGTGTACGTACTACGTGCCCTAGCCAGCGAAGCCGACTGATGTGAATTTGATGTGCTCGTTTAGTTTCAGAGCGGGGGTGGGCGAAACCCAGTCTTGCAGCATCACTTTGTACTTTCAAGGTGCGAAGCACATACCAAATGTGGCAACCGCACTTATTGGTCTATCAGGTGCGTTTTGCGCGACTCCCAAAGATTCGAACAGACAGACGATGTCATCGGGGTACTCAAAATCGCACAGTTTTTATCCAACTGTCCATTCAATTCCTGCGTTTTGGAGACCACTAAGTGCGTCCTCCAGTATGTCGTCGACGACGAAGTTGAACAGGAACGGCGAAAGAGGACACTTGATGAACGCCGCTACTGGTGACGAGCGGCCTACTTAGTTCGTCGTAAACCCTCACTCGACCAGAGGTGTGTGAGCACAGTGACCCCAGTAAGTTAACGTACTTCTGGGGCATTCCTTTTCGAAGAAGGGAACCCAGCAGAGCTTCGCGGTCAACTGAGTCGAACGCCCCTTAGAAGTCGAGACCGTTGGTCGACGGTGGGTGTGACGCAGCTGAACGACCTGCCGCAACGTAAAATTTGTTCAATGCATCCACTGCCAGGCCGGAATCCGGCTTGCTGTTCACGGATGTTCTCTCTTAAAGGATTCAGTCGTCGAAGTCTGACCGGGGCTTGCAATTTGGTGACGATCGGGATCAGGATGATCCCGCGGTGGTTTTCGCAATCGTTGCGAGATCCTTTCTTGAAAATAGGAATAATCAGCGATTCTCCCCACGATGAAGGAATACGCTCTTGCGCTAAAATATTGCGCGTTACGGTAGTAATGGAGCTTACGAGGTTATCACCCCCATTTTGAATAGAATGGGAGGGAGCTCATCCGGTCCTGTCGCCTTTCCTCGCTTTAGAGCTTGAATGCAGGACCGAACTTCTGCTTCTGTGGGAGAATCGCACGACACTGCCCACGGAGCTTCAGCTACAGATGAAGTGACCTGTATAGCGGCAGGCCAGTTGAATTGTTCGCTGAAGTATTCTGCCCAGCGATCAAGTCATTGATCCCAATTGTGAATAGCTTGTCCGCTCTTATCACTAACTGTTTCACTAACGGGTTCCCGTATTGCTTATCAGTCGGAACAGTCTTTGACTATTCCCTGGTGCGGCTGCTACTTCCATTTCACTAGCTATTGTTGTCCATCAATTTTCACGGTCCTTCTTCAGGCTCTTCGTCAGCCGACGTTACAGACGCCACGTAACGTTATTTTGATCCGGGCAGGTCGGAATTGGCTGCTTTTGATCCATCAGTGCTACAGACTCCTCAGATATCCAATGCCTCTGCCGGGCATGAGGCTCAGTCCCACAAGCAACATTCGCAGCGCAATGCATTGCTCACCTAATCTGATCCCACTGTTCATCTACATCATGCACTAGCTCAGACTCAGCGTGCATGAACAGCTTGAACAAATAGTCGATGATGAGCTATCCGAGTTTACTGGTTTTGTTGTTGACCAGTCAGCCGAACAGTGAACTGCGTCAAAACCAATGCGTGATCAGACTCAACGCAGGTGGTACAATAGGACCTGCCATTCTTCACTGATCCACGCCAACGTTAGCTTACTGCTATGAGATCGATTTAATTTTGCGTTCCGGTAGAACTGGAGCGCCACGTTGCCGTCCATCGAGAGCTGTGTCGGGAGTTGGTACTCGATAGGAACAGATGATGGTCTGCGCAGAACTGAAGAAGTCGATCGCCGTTATCTGTTCGTCGGCTGGGCAGAGCACAACTACCGCCTAAGGAAGCTTCTTATGCGCTCAGTTTTCCAACCTGCGCGTTAAAGTCACCTCCCAGTACGGTATCACATCCAAAGTTAGAACGGATGTCTTTGAAGAAATTGTGCGTCGTGCTCATAGTATTAGATCCGTATAGGAATGTTTGGATTAGCCACGAGAGAAAACCAAAAAACAACTAATTTCGGTTGACGACGTTTCGACCCTCTTGGAAAGCCTTTTTCAAGTCAAGTAAAGTGCCAGTACAATCATGTCGGAGCTTCGACTCATCCAAATGAGATCTGTGAGTTCATCGTAGAAAGTGTCGTTTTGTGTGTCAAAACTGCAGTTAGTCGGTGCATATGCTGATATGACGAACAAACACCTTTTGGTGTTGCTTCCCTTCCGGACGCTGATTAAACTCTGGAGACGAACTGCACATAAATGACTATTGACGGGGATCCAATCCATAAGAGAGGACTCAACCCCTGTAATGAGTGCAATACCTACTGTGCGGGCTTCGTCGTCGCCTGATGTGCGAAGAACAACGCATCTCAAAGACATCTGGCACACTCAAGTGGCTTACAGTAGTAGGATCCTAAATTCGAGTCCCCAACACGCAGCAAATATCAATCCCTAAGGATTCTATTGTACGCGCTAGATAAGCTTGTCGACCTACCTGCATTAGAGTCCTCACGTTGAAGGCACTCAGATTCAGTGATTGACGAGGTTTCAGAATCTGCAATCCATTTCGTCGTACATTACTTACAGTGTTATTTGGCAACGACATCCAGGTTGCTTGAGGGGCTATTACAGGTTGGAAGAAAGGGAAAATGGAGAGGGCTGGGTACGGAAGACAAAGAATTAAACAAAGGTTGCGATATATAAGCAGTAGCCCGCTTATCACTACCCACCCGCTCGATGCAATGGGCAGCGCGGTCCTAATTATCCTGCTCGACAACCGATGCAGTATGAAATTATTTTTAGTTTGTGTATGCATTGGGTTTGATGGACGGGCACTGCTAGGGTGTCCAGCCACTAAGCAAAACGATTAGGGTTCTCGTCCAAAGCCTTCAGTTCTGACCAGAACCTAACCGCAGGGCAGCGGGTGAGCGGAGTGGAGGCCCATTCACTTGGATCGATTATTTCTCCACCATCTTTACCGACTAAAGGGCAAATTCCAGTCGAACCCCCAACCTGGAGGACCAGGAGACTGGGCTTTGTCTGACCTCTACCCATTGACCTTCCAGGTATAATAAGATCTCCTGGCTAGACGAAAGCCATCCTGTGTAGCTCGTTGGGTCAGGGAGGTTTACAAGCTATCACATCACGTCAAGGTGCAGTCTCATCGTGATGAACCTAGGCGTTTACCTAGACATAAACGCTCTGGCAAAGCGACGTGTGGCATACAGACTAGAGCAAACGATATCTACTGCTTGCTCTTAAAACTATAAAGAACAGTCAACTATCAGGGATGTATGAATCGTCAATCTGAGTCCCCGTATGGATGGCGAATGAGCTCAGGGTGATCAAACACCAGCACATTGTCACTGCTGTACTGCACACCTGTATTTGATAGTATAACGGTCAGAGATGCACCCTCGATGAAAGAGCCGGTTGATACCAGGAGTTATCCGTGATACCATACTCCCATCGCACCTCAAGGTTTCCATTCAACTGCAGCGATAATAAACGGCAGAAAGTCGTAATCCTAAGATGTATTCAGTATTTGAATTATAACCAAAATGCAATTTTATTATCACACATTGCTAATAGACCTTATTTGACCATATTTGACGGTAACTTCCTTGATAACTTGTTTGTTGCGTACATCCAAATAAAGCTTCCAAGACCCATTAAGTTGAAATAGTTAGTTGCTCTCAATCTGTTGTGAAACTAAAACTGAAGGCATACATGTCATCAGGTCTCGTCTCTTCTATCTCTATAAGCGGTTGTTTTATTTATATTTGCTTATTTCTCCTTCAGGGTCCCACCAGAAAAGCGTAGCCTGAGAGCTTACGTTTCCATTCTTTACTCGGATCCACGCATGAAAGTATATCTCCAAGGTCGCAAAGTTCAAACTAAACGACTATTAGCGACATTACACAGCACACGAAAATACAATTTCGCGAGCAAGACGTTCCGCACCCGCGCCGAGGCAGATTTGNAGATTTGGCTAAGGCCAAAAATGATGTCAAGATCGGTAAGTTGGATTTGGCCCATATCTTCGGTGTCATTTCGGTTTGACACTTGGACCTTATTTATTCATTAAGTTAGTTTATTATCGACAGTTTAATCATTGTAGCAAGACTGAAGACGTGGTTTAATTGTGCATACCCATGTAACCCGTGGGGCTTGAATCCAGATGCAAAGGACAATCTCTATCTTTTAGAGCAACCTTTTAGTTTCCTAAGTCGGTACTCCATTCGGATGGAATGGATTCACTATTGCAGATGGTTTGGAATAAGAAAGCTAGTTCGTGGACAAAAATTGCACCACCGTCTTTGAAAAGGGCTGGAAGCATCTCATCTGGGCCGAGCGATTTGTGGCGTTTCAGAAGTCTAAGCTCTCAGGAGGCTTCTTCCTCTGTAGGTGATGAAATGTCCACAGACCGTGGAGCACTACAGACATCGCGAGATGGAGGTGATGATTTCGATGGCCAACTGAATTGTTGACGGAAGTGCTCCGCCCAAGCCGACGTAGATTATGGATACATTCGCCATTAGTGTCGCATATGGTTTCTCTGACGCATGGTTTTTTGTTACCGGTGGCTCGGATTAGTTGAAAACGTTTGTGAGCATTACCGGAAGCAGAGGTCAGTTCCACCTCAGAAGAGCGTTGTGCCCACCATGTCTCTCGATACTCTTTTAGGAACCGTTTCAGTTCAGCAATGAGAGTTCTGCGAACGGTGTTGTATTCATTACCTGAAGGGATGCTTCGACTAGTGTCAAGCAGTTTGAGAGAACGTGCAGAAACCCAGTGATTGGCTGTGCGCTTGGTGAGGCCATATGCTGTGTTGGCGGACGTATGCATGGCGGTATGGATGAGTCCACTGGTTATCAGCGTTCAAGGAGGACAGGCTGTCTAGATCAGCAGCTAACGTGTTTTGGGAGGCCGTAAC